TTCGCCTCGCTTATAAAGTGACTAGTAGATATGAGGCTCATTCATTGGTGACATCATACATGAATCGCAAACAGAACCTGATTTGCTCCGGCCCATAGTGCCTTGCGTTTCCCCCGCTGCCGCACCGAAACAGATGTTGCGGCAGATCTCATATCCTCTCATGGCCGGTCCTATGTTGTGATCCGGGCATGGTCATGACTGTTCACAAGCCCGTGTCCATGCCAAAGTGTGATGTGGAAGGGCGCTAACGGTATACCTGAGGAGGCGGCTCAGGCATCGTTGCCTATGACCACCATCCATGACCAGCATACACGCTTATACCACCATCTTGGCCTTCGCACGGGTACTGCCGCTGTGGGCGCTGTCAGTGTGACCCGAAAACTCGATGACCTCGTTGGCGGGCAGCTTGAGAACGGCCTTGAACCGACGCCCAATGGACATCAGGATCTCCTTGCCCTTCTCACTCGACCGGCCCTTGCCACCGGCGATGTCACCGTCGCCGCGGCCGGGAATGTGGCGACCCGTTGTTCGGGTCCAGACACCGATACGATAGAATGCCTTCCGGACGTTGACAACGACGCCCATCACCTCGCCGTCCTCCTCATCCTCCAGCGTCTCGCCAATGGCGCCAAGCATGGTGTGCAGCCAAAGCTCATCAATGTTGACCGTCCGTTTCTCCTTGAACTGGAAAGACCACTTGCCACCATGCTTGTTTTGCGGGTCCTCCCACTCTGGCCGCACACCCTCCTTGAAGAGATGGTAATCCGACTTGAGGGCAAGGTCGGACACAGCGGAGATGTTGTTCTGTTTACGGCGTTAGACAGCCACCGGACACGAGAGCGCAGATACTGCAGGGTATCTTACGTAGACGCCCCAGAATTCTTCTACCGACTCGAAGGTGATTACCTCCTTCAACAGGTCATTCCAGTTATCGCCCTGCGCGCGGGGTTGGTTAGAATGGTAACATGGCGGGGTAGTGGAACAGAAGGTCGAACCTTTCCGCTCGCCGGCTTGGTAAACCAGAGAGTCCACCTATTTGTGAGGGGGTGCTTCACGTTGAAGTTATCCTTGTCGTGGAAAACGGTGACAGTCTTATCGTTGTCCTCGGCGGCCTCCTTGGCGGCGGCTTCGGGGTTGTTACCACCATCGGGCGAGATGGGGATGGTAGTAAGGTCGACTTGTTCCGCCATGTTGGAAAGTTGAGATGTGAACACGTAGGTAAACTGGCCGTGAAATACGCAGCCGGCTTCAGTCGAGGTTCGGATGGTTGAAATGGATCGTGTGGCCCACGGAGATGCTTTGCGAAGATTGAAGCTGCAGCGAGTTTTCGCAGAAAATGCGGATAGAGGTAGAGCTAGGTGCGAGTGTCGCGAGAGACGGAAGGCTCGATTAGTCGGCGGTGGGCAACTGCAGTTTGCACTCTTGTGAATGGAAAGAACGACCGTGCTCCAGGCAATGTCGTCAGGCTGTGAAGAAAGGGCTCGTCTGGTGTGGGCGGAGAGAGGATGCGATCGCAAACTTTGGTTGGCGAGGCGCTGTGACGGCGGCTGATTGTACACACGCCCCCGTTTTTACTGACTAAGTAGCGCTCTCGGCTCGAAAATAGCAGGACGGCGAGGGTCATCCCACCTCCAAAGTCACGTGTATCGTCACGGGGAGGGGCAGATAAGAAAGTTTCGGATGCGTGTGGGTTTGGTGGGGCAAGAGGCGGGCAATGCGGGCGGAGAAGAAAAAGTTCAAGCACCGCATTTGAAAATTTCAAAATTTAAAGACCGTCCAGCCTGCCCCACGCCGAATCGGTCTTTCCCTCTTCGCGCGCCAGATTCTGCCCAACCCTCAAATCTCCCTAAAAAACACCAATCTTCAAAAATGGCGGACGAAGTCTATGATGGTGCCATTGGCATCGATCTCGGTAAGAATGCCCACTTTGTTCTTCCCTGTGTCGCCTCTATCGCCTTAGATCGTTGCGCGGGGTCAAAATTGAAGCGCAAACGCTGACAGAGGCTTCCAATATACAGGCACAACCTACTCTTGCGTTGCCACGTACGAAGGTACCAATGTCGAGATCATCGCCAACGAGCAGGGTAGCTTCACCACCCCCTCGTTCGTCTCCTTCACTGAGGACGAGCGCCTGATTGGTGAGGCGGCCAAGAACCAGGCCGCCATGAACCCGGTGAACACCGTGTTCGATGTCAAGTATGGCTCCCTTGGGTGTGCGCTTTTTGAGTAAAGGCCGTCCGCTAACCACCGTCTCCCTTCCAGGCGTCTGATCGGCCGCCGCTTCGATGACCCCACTGTCAAGAAGGACATGGAGTCGTGGCCCTTCAAGGTCGTTGACGATGGCAACGGTAACCCCAAGGTCGAGGTCCAGTACCTCGGCAGCACCCACACTTTCTCCCCCCAGGAGATCTCCGCCATGGTCCTGAACAAGGTTCGTATCTCCAGCAGGCCATCAAATCCCGGGCACACACTGACATGCTGCGAAAACAGATGAAGGATATTGCCGAGGTCAAGCTTGGCAAGAAGGTTGAGAAGGCCGTCATTACTGTCCCGGCTTACTTCAACGACAACCAGCGTCAGGCCACCAAGGATGCTGGTGCCATCTCTGGCATGAACGTCCTCCGTATCATCAACGAGCCTACCGCCGCCGCCATTGCCTACGGTCTTGGCTCTGGCAAGTCCGACAAGGAGCGCAACGTCCTTATCTACGATCTGGGTGGTGGCACTTTCGATGTGTCGCTCCTGAACATCCAGGGCGGTGTCTTCACCGTCAAGGCTACTGCTGGTGACACCCATCTTGGTGGCCAGGATTTCGATACTAACCTCCTCGAGCACTGTAAGAAGGAGTTCGCCCGCAAGGCCGGGTCTGAGTAAGTGTGGCCTCTCGCCACCGGTCTCGGGGGCCACTGTGCTCTGTGCCCTCCTAGACCGGCCCCAGCGTATCATGCATAAGAAACGGAATAGCTGACACTTTTGAACAGCCTCTCGGGTGATGCCCGTGCCCTCCGCAGGCTGAGGACTGCTTGCGAGCGTGCCAAGCGTACTCTGTCCAGCGGTGCCCAGACCACCATCGAGATTGACTCGCTCTTCGACGGCAAGGACCTGAACATGCAGATCACCCGTGCCCGTTTCGAGGACCTGAACGCCAAGGCTTTCGCCGGTACCCTCGAGCCTGTTGCCCAGGTTCTCAAGGATGCCAACATCGACAAGAGCGCGGTCGACGAGATCGTCCTTGTCGGTGGCTCCACCCGTATTCCCCGTATCCAGAAGCTCCTCAGCGAGTTCTTCAACGGCAAGAAGCTCGAGAAGAGCATCAACCCCGACGAGGCCGTTGCCTACGGTGCCGCCGTCCAGGCCGGTATCCTCTCCGGCAAGGCCACCTCTGCCGACACCTCGGACCTCCTCCTTCTGGATGTCGTTCCCCTTTCCCTCGGTGTTGCTATGGAGGGCAACATCTTCGCCCCCGTCGTTTCGCGCGGCCAGACTGTCCCCACCATCAAGAAGAGGACATTCACCACCGTTGCCGACAACCAGCAGACCGTCCAGTTCCCCGTGTTCCAGGGTGAGCGTGTCAACTGCGAGGACAACACCTCCCTGGGTGAATTCACCCTTGCTCCCATCCCTCCCATGAAGGCCGGCGAGCCCGTCCTCGAGGTCGTCTTCGAGGTCGACGTCAACGGTATCCTCAAGGTCACCGCCACCGAGAAGACCTCGGGCCGCAGCGCCAACATCACCATCTCTAACTCCGTCGGCAAGCTCTCGTCGGGTGAGATTGAGAGCATGATTAACGGTACGTACCACATCAATGGCGAATAACGACAAGAGACAATCTCTAACAAGTGTGCAGATGCCGAGAAGTTCAAGACCAAGGATGAGGCCTTCAGCAAGCGCTTCGAGGCCAAGCAGCAGCTCGAGTCGTACATCTCCCGTGTTGAGGAGATTGTCTCTGACCCGACGCTGTCGCTCAAGCTCAAGCGTGGCCAGAAGGACAAGATCGAGCAGGCGCTCAGCGATGCCATGGGTCAGCTCGAGCTTGACGACTCGTCGGCTGATGACCTCAAGAAGAAGGAGCTTGCGCTCAAGAGGCTGGTCACCAAGGCCATGTCCTCGCGGTAAATGACTTGAGGGTGGATGGATGGATTGGCCTTTACCAGATAGATACAGGGCGCATCGGACGGGATTATGAAGCCACGGTCTGGAGCTAACGAGCAACCGGCGGGACGGCAGGGCCGCGGTATGATGGGAGGCGTCTTACATCTTGATTCATGAAACGGGATACAAAAGTTAGAGGGATCTGGCTTTGAGCTGCGTTTCGCTGCGGGGCCATTTCGGCCAGGGAGGAGGTATCTATTAAGATTGCTGACGATTGGGACTTTTCCTCTTGATTCTCATGACCGATTTTTCCATTAGCGTATTGCATGCAGGCTAAGGAGGTTAATCAAAGTGTATGAAACACTCGCCCTGGGAGGTGGTTTGTTTGTCTTACCTGGTAGTTGACTCATGCGGGGTGGAGAAGCCTTTAGCGGTTCCGAATCGAAGCCCGTGGCGAAGTCCTATCATTGTCTAAAAAGAAAAAGGGGCAGTGAAAACAATGTCAATCGGCTACGAATATAAAAGGAAAAGGAAAAGGAAACAAAAACGTTGTCGAGGATTCCACTTGTCTCACCGGTGAGAAAAGAAATTCGTCGGGCTTCCTATGGAAGATGATAGCCACGACAGTAACATAATCCAGAAGTCCCCGTGGTTTGCAGGGTGCTTACAATGAGAACCTCAACCTCGATCTTGGAAGATCTTTCTAGACCTGTTGCCCCAGCCACACCATCAACGATGCAATTGCACTTGGTGCAATGCCCCAAACCAAGTGGAATGAGGTATCTATAGGGTACTGCCACATCAAATCATAGGGCATGATATATAAGTACAATGACAGGGCACGATATCAAGTACAATTGCAGGGCACTGCGTCGCACTGCAGCGAGTGCCGTTGCAGGGCATCGAATGCAATTACAAGGAAGGTAAATATGCGAGGTGGCTTGATATATATGTATCCAGCTTTTAACTTCGTATATATGGATATCATGTGGCTTCCATTCAGCAAAGCATTGAAAAGAGACTGATCTGGGTGGCTCTCGCCTTCCGTAACCTCCGGCCCCCGGATCCACATACCTGTAATCCGTTGGACTATGGACTATGTAAAACCCCCGAGACCTCTGGATGACTCGGCTCACCGACGTCACTCAACTTATCACCTCTGACGCCCACCGATGCTTCGTCTTGAAAAGTGAACGCATCGAACAGAATGGCACCTCAACCTCAGAAGTTTGAATACTTCTTTGATCTCCCCCCCGAGCTCCGGGGACAAATTCTCTCTTACATCTGCGTGTTTCCCACGCCCATCCTCGTCGGCGGTGGTCCCGGCGGGAGGTGTGTGGTGCTGAGCCCCGGCGCTGCCGGCGTTACACAACATCTACATCACGACGACGACGAAGCAATGGAAGCGGAAAACTACGAAAACTCCGCCGATTACGCCGACCCCCCCCCACCAACCTCTTCCTCGCCTCTCCCGTCCTGCACCGCGAGGCCGGCCACCTCTACTACAGCCGCAACACCTTCCACATCTCCTTTCCCCCGCCCCCCTCTTGCAGCCGCAAGCGCACCCGCGGCCTGCCCCACCGCCCCCGCCACCAGCAGCTCCACATAGACACGATCCGACGGCTCCTCACGCACCCGGACACCACCCACGCGCGGCGGCGTATCCGTGCCGCGGTGGTGTCGGTCCGCGGCATCGGCGCCCAGCTCCAGAACGTCGTCGTGCCCGCCGTCGCTGACATGGTGCTGCGCGGGGCGCTGCGGCAGCTGTGCGTGAACGTGCTGGGGTCGGCGCCGCCGTCGGGACCGTTGTTGTCGTTCAAGGACGGGCCCGACGGAGAGATTGCTTATAGTTTTAGTGGTGGTGTTGGAGGTGATGGTGTTGGTGGTGATGGTGTTGTGGGTTGTACGGACCCGGCGCTTCGCGCGCTGTTGGTGCTGTTGGTGGATCCGGGGTTGCGTCAACGAGAGGGAGGCGGGGGGGCAAGGCTACGGGTGTTGAAGGGATGGCATGCGCCGTTTTGGTGTCAATTTCATGAGCAAACCTCTCCTTCCTCTTCTTCTACGACTACTACAGTTGGGGGTGGGGGGGTGGATGGGGAAGGCGGGGGAGCTGTGGGTGCGGTGAGTTGTGCGATGCTGAAGGGACGGTTTGTGTCTGGTGCTGCGGCGGCTGCTGCTGTGGCGGCTGCTGTTGCGGCTGCTGCTGCTGCTGCCAGTGGACGGGGGGTGGGAGATGATGGGTTTCTGGAGGTGGACATATGCGGGTTGGTGGACGCAGTCTGCGCTGGCGACGGAGCCGAGTTTAACATCAAGAAGGTTTGAGCGACAAGCCCCGCGGCTTGGCTCCTCTCGTCGTCGTCCAGCAAAACACCTTGATAGTGGAAGGGGCGCTTGCCAAGCGTCCACAAACAAGTGATTGCCGGCGAGAAAAAGGCCAATTGGGCGCCCGGCGTTGCCGAGCTTTACGCCAAGACGGGACCATGCCGATGATCAAGATCTACCAAGCCAGCTGGGGAAAGTGGGACAGATTTCAGGTCTAGGCGAGATCTCTTTTGCGTAGATCTCGGGGGAAATATTGTCTTGGTATCAAGGCGACTAACGGCGGGAAATCGGCTGAAAAAAAATTAACACACCGCCATGGTTAGTTGTGGAGATGTAAGGAAATATCTTGGCTTTCGGGAACCGAGTCATCCGGGCGGTTCTGAGTTTATGAGTGTGTGGGTTGCGTTGTGCAAGACCTGTGTAGTGTAAAGTGTGGAGATCTTCTTGGCTTGGCAAGAAGACAACAAGAGTTGTGGCTCAGCGCTAAGCTATCTCAGCTCGCACTAGCTCCAGGAGAAGACGACGTTACCTCCACACAACCGATAATAAAGTAGGTAATTATGGAGACTAACGTTATTTGCTTTGAGTCCACCACAGGAACCCCCAAAAAAGGGTTCAAGGGCCACTAAGAAACTAATCCCAAGACCCCAAGACCCTAAAACCCCAAGACCCTAAAACCCCAAGACCCCGAGACCGCCCTGCCTAACTAGCTAATGTAGCTTAGTTGATTGATTACGCGAGCCTCGGTCTCATCGGTCTGTCAGATTCCCTTCCCTTCCCTTCCATCCTTCCCTTCCCCCCTGGCATAAACCCCCGCACAAAAAGATGGTAACTAGTATATTTGTGTAATGACGACGTCCTTGTAGCTTGTCGCCTGCCGCCTTGGCCCTGCATCGTTGAAGCCTTCAATCCCACCAAACAGCGTCGATCGTACGACCTCAGCAAGGGGAGGAGGAAGGGGGAAACGGGGGCAAAAGCGCCCGTATTCGAAACTAGGATAACTCAAGCAAAAGAAAGCAACGTGGGCGTGGGCAAGACCCGTGGAAACGGTCGCCCTCCCCCCCAAACTGCTCTCTCACCCTCCTTCTCTCTCTTTCTCGCTTCTGCCCCGTAGAAAGTAAGCTGGCCATGCATGCGCCATGCATGAGACTCCGCACTTCCGCGAGGCGACATGCATGAGCTCCAGGGTAGGGCATTGGTCGCGTTTGAACGTCAGGTATGTCGCCGCAGAATGGAGAGGGGGAGGGGAACCAGTGAGGATGAACTGATTGCGAGAAACTCCAACAAATCCCATCATGTCGGGGAAGCACACCACACCATCCTGCACGCACGCTAGTTGGAATTTTTTTTTTTTGGGAAAGGCAAAGCCAGTTTTCATTCTCCATTCTGACCAGTGTTTAAGCTCGTGGCAAAGACGACACCTCCCTCCCATCCCCCCCTCATCCGTTTACCCCCCCACACCTTCTCGCGAATCCGTCGTGTAACAGAAACAGGCTAAGCCAGACCCCCGGTTCGGAGTTTAGCTGGATCCCCCCACCATTTCCGCCCTCGACACGACTCCAACCAAGAATACCGAGTGAGAGAGAAAGTGATACGTAAATCATTCGGATGAGGGGGGTTTCGCTGAGTTGGCCATGTTGAGTGGACACAGTTTCGCGATCAGACCCCAACACCATCAACATGCATAATCAGAGTGGCATAAAAAGAACAAATCTCGAGAATCGAAGGAGCAGAAGGAGAAAAAGTAAAGTCTTATTTTTGGCTCATGGTATCATGATATCGGGCATAAAAGACATCCGAAAAGAGGTGAAGTGAAAAGGAAGGGCCGGGCGCAGGGCCGTGGATTGGGCGGCGTTGCTGGCGATGATAATGATGATATGGACCGTTTACTCGACCGCGACCTCGTGGAAGTCGCCGTTGCTCTCGCCTTGGTGCTCGCCCCAGTGGACAGGTCCGAGCTTCAGGAAGCGAAACTTGGACGCATCACTGCTGAGGCTGGAAGTGCGGCGCTTCGCCAGCTCCTCCTCGCTGGCCTGCTGCTGCGTAGCCTGGGTGAGGGCCTCGGCAGTAAGTGGTTGCTTGACCCGCGGAGCGCGAGGGTACGACTCCGATGTGGTGGGGGCGAGCGACAGGAAGGTTGAGGGCCGGCGCTCAGTAGTCGGGCGGGTGAACTCGACGGCCTTCTCGCTCAACTGGCGGAGCTCTTCGGTGGTCGGGGTCGACATTTTCTTGGGTTTATTTGTGCTTCGAGCGTCTGGGTTGCTTCTGAAGTGGCAGAGGACAGAAATAACAGCTGAAAAACTGATTTTCGGTACTGGTTTGGTTGGTCGAGGTTTGGATTTGGTGGGGGAGTGGGTGGATGAGAAGAGAAGAGCAAAAGAAGAAGAAAGTTTGTTCGGGATGGGTGAAGGGGATTTATAGACTTACTCGGGGACTATCCCCCCCGCCTCCCCCCCCTGCTTGCTCTTTCCTTTGTGCTCCGCAACAATGCTCACATGATAACCTTCCGTAATTCCATCAAAATGGATGACACAGCGCACTTGTTTCACACGGCGGGCGCACCTATCCATCTCATCCGAAAACCCCAGCAAGCCCCGCCTTCTCATGATTGGGTTTGACGGTGAAGAGGAGGACCCAGCATTTCTGGGCGAGCGACCGCCGCACGTGGGATGCCAATTGGTCTGAGAGCCGGGGTCTTTCATAAACCCGAGCATAACAATGCCTTGGTTACGCGTTCCTTGTGTCGGTCAACTCAGAAGGGAAAGCGCATGGGGGAAAACAAAAAGAAAAAAAGAAAAAAAACGTGACACGAATATGCTCACAGCTCGGGCCGGGATGATGCAGGTAAAGTTGAGATAAACTATCAAATCTGATACAGGCGGCATGTGGAGCACGGCGCGGCTCTGTGTCTGGGCCGTCCCGGTTCATTGCGGTGCCCATATGGTGCCATGACGTCGGGCCTCGGCCGCCCTTGATTGGATCCCCGGTAAGCTCGCGAAGATATCTCGGGAACATCGCGGCTGTCAACTGACGTCGGGAGGCTGCGGGGCGCGGGGCAGCTTCAACTGCCGTGTGTCCATTACTGTTTGTGTCCAGTCCAGTCCTTGCATCTCGGTTCTCGCTGACGTTGTGAGTCCGTCGCTAAGATTGGCCGTTGTCCCCCCACCCTGCATCAACGCGTCTTCCACGATGCACACGATGCACACAATGCACATGATGCACAATAAAGTCTGGAAGCCAGATGATGTTCGGCTTGCTGTAATGAGCAGCCCGATGGCTGAAGATGGCCCCGAAGCTAGCCGGAGTGCACCGGTCCGAGCGCAGAGCAACCCGGCCATCACAACTCAGCCCTCGCGGCAGAACGGAAAGGACTTGGACATCCGAGTCAACGAAGTAACTCGTCCCTGCTCGTGCTGCCACTGGGCAAACACTCCTTAGTCGATATCGACTTCGTCATTAAAAACGGCCGTTCTTTGGTTCTCTGGCTCATCCGAGCAACCACCATCCACTACTTGACCGAACTCGGAAAGCCACTGCGGCCAGTGAATTGGCCTCGATAGGTATGGAATAAGTACGGAAGCCCCTACTCTCTCTCACTTCAAAGATGTCCAAATTTGACGCTCCGCAATGAAAAGTTTCGAAAGTTTATTTGAGTAGCGTGGTCACGGCTCCCTCCTCTTCGACGCCATGTTTCGAACACTCAACACTTGTCCAAGCCTCCTCAGACAGCACTTGCAGTTGTGAGAAGGGAGTGTAGATCGAAGGCCAAGGTTGCCTGCCAGGGGGGGGGGGGTAGCACCTTGGTATGATAGGGATGTTTGGTGGCTCCGCCCAATTTTCTGCGAGATTCGCTTGAATTCCTCCCTCGCTTGGTCGCTTATCCAAACGAACAAGGACAGCAATTAACTTGGAAAAGGGGTTCAGCGGTAAAGCTACACAAGTAATAAAGCAAAGACATGGGGCCTGCAATCCTTGAAAAGTCCGTGTTAATAATGCCCGGCCTCTGCTCGGTGAGAGACCCTCCGTTGGGGGCTCAGCAAACACGGCGTTGAACAACCGCTTGGTATTCCTGCGGAACCGGCACATGCAGTAGTGTCATCTGTGCCCGCATGGTTGCAATGTAGCCCCAACTGGCAGCCAACGCCGGCGTGCAAACGAGATGGAGGGCCGGTATGGAGTCTGTACACTTCTGAACAAGGAACATAGGGATACTTGCCTCGTCAAAGGGCATGCTAAATTCGGAGATCAATTCACTAGCATGGTGGAGGCGAAGTTGGACCCGGCGCAAGTCCTCCGCCTGGGAGGTTGGTCCCAAGCTGGTAGAGAGCCGATTGCCGGCGTCTGTCGAGCTAGGGTGCCCGTTGGTGATATCGACGCCATGTGCCGGGACGAGATGAGGGGTCACACAGCAACGTTGAGAATGGTGTCTGGCGATAGCACCGAGGAGGTCGGTCCTCCGCCAACCGTAATAGACCTTCCCATCAAGACGCACGGCGCAAGGGGGTGTAGGGCCAGGTGTGGCTAGACCCGTTCACGGGGGTATGCAGGTGTGCAGGTGGAGCAGACCTCCACGCCCAGAAAACGTGAAGCAAACAGCGGGAAGAATAGTCAAGGTGCTAGGGCATCCGTCAGGCCCTTGGGAAGGTCAGCCGAGCGACCACATGTGGGAGTGCATTCCGGATGTCGACGGGCCGGGTTGGGTGAGGCGACTGAGGGTGCGTAGCAAGGGACAGAACCCAAAGCCGCCGAACACCATCCGAGAGCGAATGCACGCCGTACTTTAGCCTGGTAGATGAGATTGAGATTGATGTCGTTGTCCTTGCGTGGTATTCGGGAACGCTTACCGAGCTTTGACGCCGCCAGGCGCTTAAATTCTACCCTGATTGGTAGGCACACGCAACCGTCGCCACCATCACAGCATAGTCGCGAAGACGTTGGCATATTCCCTGCGACCCAACGACACCAGTTCGGTTCGTGTCTCCAGCCGCGTCTTTGCTTGGTTCTCGTATGTCGGGTCATTGCCCAGGGTACGATCCAACAGATGCGGCCCCCTCTTGCCAGCGGGAACGGCGGTTGAACTCTCGCATAGGCGCAGCCGCGGAGCATCGTTAGCAACGATTAATATGTGACCCTGGCACAACGTCAGGGGCTGCCCCTCGAGGCGTTGGGCCTGCCACCCGGCCGCTGGCTTCGCACGGGCGGCGAGGGGCACGAGAAGCTCCCCTCCTGCCTGGCACACCTCGCACATCAAGCCACCGGTCACCCCGTGCTCGGCATAATACGTGATCTCCAAGTATCGGCGGATGTGCCGAGGCTTATTTCCTTGTCATTGCTAAAGGCAATCTCGCGTCTCGGTAGGGCAACCGGCCGTCATGAAAGGACGAACGGGGTTTGGAGCGAGTGTTCTCGAGATATTGATCCATGCTTGGCAATGAAACCACCGTCCTCTTTCCGTATAGTCAGCGGCCGGTTAGTTTGGCACGGAAATTGGAGTTTAGGTGATAGAAAGGCCTACATTGCGGACGATAGCCTATCACCGGGCCGGACTAGGGTCTTCGCGAAAGGAGTTTCAGATCAACACTACCGCAGGCCTCAGGCCGATATCCACAAGTCTTGTCGATGAGACGTAAAAAGACGAATGACGAAAGGGGCATACAAAACGAAAGGGCGATGGACATGGACCGTGAGGGCCTCCCGAGGTCTTGGGTCGAGTTTGAGGTTGAGGGTTTCCGGTAGCCCCACTCCCGGTTCAAAAAAGGAGAGCAGGGCTGTGCAGATGGCGTCGGCCAGAAAAGCCGACCTAGCGACGTCTGTTGCACCGTCGACAAAGAAGATCGGGCAAATGGGTCGCAGAATGGGCCGCACGAGGCATTCTGAGGCTGCGGCAATACCGAACCCCCATGTCAATCAGAGTTACCAGTGCTTCAAGTACCTATTAGATAGGTACATGGAACTTCGTGAAAGCGGGCGGCTGACTCTATTGCGCAATCGGAACCGAAGGAAGGCGGGGGAATTGAGATTGACTCCCGCCGGTCGGATCGGAGCCCGGGGTGCGGCGCCGGAGGAGTGACGGGTTATGCCAAGTGCTGCACGATGATCAAGAGTGCGCTGTTGGCAAGCAGTTCTCAAAAGAGAACTCGGGGGGCTTGAAGCACCGCCAGCTTGCGATGACAGGGGGACTGGGAAGAAGAGGGGCGCCTTCCTGCCGACAGCTGGCGTGCCATGCGTCAAGTGGGGCTAACAGGCGGGCACGATGGACGAAATCGGCAGCCTCGAATGCAGAATTTGGTGGCTGATTGGTCAACCTGAGGCTCAAGAAAGTTTTAGACAGGGGTGTCACTCAAATCTCGAACAAGTTGATTCATAGAAACGGTGGCTGTTCCTTCCATGCTACATACCTGAGTCTCGCGTTGCTTTCTCATGCATTTTCCAACCCGTTGCGGGCCTAGCTTGAGATTTGTTGGCGAGGGCAAAACGCCGCTAGAAATTCACGGGTTTTTCGGCAGGGGGAAAGAGGTACCAAGCCCTCCTCCTCCCAACATTTTCCTTGTCGTTTGTTTGTTCTCGCAGTTTTCTCCTCGTCGATGCAGTTCGCCCCCCCATGCTTTATCGGATCAAGCCCAAACCGGGAGTCCCTCCGCAGGCCGCGGTGGAGATGTCTCAAATTTGGAAACTGCTGCTATACCACGTCCGTGCTAACTCTCGCTGCGCTCTTCGACGAGTCGTCCGCGTTGGCGGACGTTGTTGCTCCTCTCGATAGCCCTGGATGTGGAGTTGTTGGTCGATGATGTGTGGCCCGTCCCATCAGCTTCGGGCAGTTGTTCTCGCGCCCTGGTGATCTTACCTCGGTCAGGTGTTTTCTTGAATTCTTGACTCAACCGGAACAGCTCCTTGATGGCAAGTCTTGCACCCTTTCCCCTACCCCGAAAGAAGGGCAACAAGGGAACTCCCAAGTGGCGCGCTTCCAGTTTTCCTATACTACGATCATCCTGTGTAAGGCGGAGGTGGGAAAGACCCTCGACTCAGTTTCGGTTTGGCTAGTTCCTTGATGTCACCGGTATGTTGTGCTGCAGCTTGATTTGCTTGGGGAGTCGCCCGTTCCCGTCTGCCAAGTCCCTTGTTCGCTGGCGCCTTATGGCTCATGTTCGTCATATGCTTCGCCCCTGATGTCTGAGGGGGCTAGCTGCAAGGTGGACGGCCCGTCACCTCCTCGACAGACGGCTGTAGCTATCTCCATTTCCTTGCCTTGCCCCCCCTGTCCCCTATCCGCGAGGTACCCATGCCTGTTACTTCCTCACCTTCTTGGCAACGCCCGGGTCGATCTGCTCGGCCACCCAACAGAAGGGATCTGACGCAGCAGGGTTAGATCGATGCGGCCATTGACCGAGAGCTGTCCCTCCCCCCCCACCCTCCCCGCCGAGATGAAGGGCAGCATCATCGCGGCGCAGGTTAGGGCTAGTACCGGACTTTCTTGCGCCTCCTATCCCCGGCAGTAGCTACATCACGGCAATGTCATTTTCTATAGTTGGTGCTGACCACTGAACGGGCAATGTAGTGTACCGCAGTGGGGGTGTGCTCCCGCATCTACCCCAACCAGCCCTTGAAGGTGAGGGCTCTACGGACATGATAGGTCCAACACGGCTTCGCTCTATTCTGCCCCCTTGTCACCTGTCGCTCCCGGCTCGGCCCACACCTGTCTCCTAGTCTCCCGAGCCCGCAGCCGGGTATGCCAGTAAGTATCCCCGCAGCGCGGGATACACGCCTGTACATCTGCTCGTGAGTGTGGATCGTTACATCCCTACTTGGAGATACTCTGGACGACAGTAGTACCCGTCAACCAACCGCTCTCAACCCGACTCAATTTGCCTCGCCCCTTCCTCAGCGGAAAGGCAACTACCAACAGACACTTCCTGGGGGTCATACCGGGAGCGGCCAAACCGTTGTTGTGGCCGAAGGCAAGCCCATCTTCCTCTCCAGCAACAAGTATAAATGGAGTGGTCGACTCCCGTCTAGCCTCTCGAAATATCCTCATCCCATCCTCATCTCCACCAACGCAGACTCAACACTCCCCGAACGCCTCTCTCACTCCTACCCTCAAACCAAAGCCGGTTCTTCGCTCTTGTCATTACCAACACCACAAACCACTTCTGCACCGTCTCACAAACATCACAAAGGCAAAAATACCTTCACCACCCAAAATGTGCACCATCTACAGGTTCCACTACACCTCTTGCGGCCACGTCCGTGAGGAACTGGTGCCATGCGCTACCTGTGCGGCCCGGGGATATTGCCCAGATGGCAGCCCTCAGGTCGTCGACGATTATCATGATGGCATCTGCGATTCCTACTCCCACTAGCAGCCGTAGGCTCCTAAATGGAGTGGATAAGCATCTGCTCCCCTGGTATGTCTTTGGCCACCCCAGGTTCATCATGGGTGGGCGCCGTGCTAACAAGACCCACCAAGCAGTCACCGGCTTCACGAAAACAACAATATCTTCCTGTCACTTTTAACGGTCGATCACGCGAGCAAAGTGCGTGGTAGACCGGTTTAGAGGCAGGGGCTTGACAAGTCTTCTTAGATTTCGGGGAGGGTGGAGGGGGGACAGACAGCGGGAAGGATGTCGAACTGCTACTAAACGCAACAGGCAGCGGGCCATTTTCTGTACAATTCTCTCTCTCTTTTTTTTCCTGTTCTTGGACTAAGTGTTGGATGTGTGTGTCTGTATGGAGGCCGATGTTCCATTCTTGATGTGGATTTACTGTTACATAGTACGGGATTATCTTTTGCACCGGGTGCTGAACTGATGAATCTCAACTGCCTCTCGTTCCCCCACCCCCTTAGCGCTTCCCGCTCCACCTGTCCAGACACACACACACACACATGATCAATCACCTGCCTTGGCTGTGATCTTGACACGACACTATTGGATCACGATCCCAAGCCACGCGATGAAGACGGTCAAGAATCGGGTGTTACCTGTCGGGCACCAGACCGATTGGCGAGGACTCGGTCGCAAAGTTGCAGGGAAGTGTCTCCCTGTGCGATGACGGAGGGATTTTCCTGGTGCCGTTCCGTTGCTTGTCAACCGTCCACACTGCAGCGTCGACAGTGAAAATCAGTTCCTAGACGGGTGTCACGGCCCATCTTGGTCTTGGAAAACCTCCGTACTGTCATCTGCTGTTTGACACAGTTGCGACAGCGCTTGATTTCGGGAGCGACACGTGGAAAAGCCGCAGGCGGCTGTCGAATGCTAACTATCCCCCAACAACAGAAAACAGAAAGTCTCGGTTTTGTCTGCGGTTTGTCATTTTAGGACACCGCCTTTCGTATGGCGGCGGCGGAGCGTGGAGTCAAGAAAAACAGATTGTCATTTTTTTCCTTTTGTTGGCTGACGACTCGCATTGTTCACGGCCGGGCAGGGCAGGACAGCGACCAGTGCATACGTGGGCAGAGGGCGTTTAGCGTTCGCGTGCATGGCAGCCCCCCGAACAAGGGTTGGCATGGCCGCGGGGAGGACGCAGCAGGAATTTGTCACATGAGCCCCGATGGGGGGGGGGGGCGTCCGCAAGGGAAGGCACCCCTTACACAGTATGGCCCGTGCGCACACCATCGCCCAAAGCGGGAAGGATCGTAACCCTGGAAGCTTATCACCGCCCTCCACAGAAAAAGTGGGTCAAACCAGGACCAAAAAGTGGCTCTTTCTTGAATTCTATCTGTCCAAGTCATCCTCCATCGACCCGACACTGACTGGACCTACCTCTCCCCATGCCCGAGTCGAAGGAACTTGAGGAGGCACAATTAACCCTAGGAAGTAACAGGACATAAGGACTTTTTGAGTCAAATCTTTATCTCGTGAGCCGGGACAGAGAACGCTACTGACCCTATCCAACTCGATCTCAGTCATTGGCTTCGGTTTGGCCCGTTCGGCACTCTGCAGGGCCGCGCCGCATCCTCACCCGGACGCGAATCGGTCAACGGTCCACTAAGGATGCCCAAAGGTAGAGATGGAAAGCATCTCGAAATCTCGGATGCGCTCAGGCGGCTGGGGCGAGTAAGTCGCCGAATAGGCGGGGTGGACCGGCAGAGCACGCTTGCCCGTAACGATCACCGGGCGAAGGCACCATACCACCCACCCACCCCCGCACACCTCCCCATTATGGTCCGGAAGAATAGGTTCGACCTTTGCAGATGCCGTCACGGCGGCCGGACTGCCCTGCAGTTGTGCCACACCAAGTGCATCTGCATCGCGCTTAGAGACGCACTCCCCCGCCAACCAGAATCGGCT